TTACCCACTGAACTATCGTTATTCATCTATGACGATGTAAAGTCAGTTTTGCATTCTATGACCCCTTTAAGTAAATAAAGTAATTCATCTCTTTCTTATTTCTTTTCCTTCCTGTGTGCACCATAAAGCACACATTTCTAAAAAGAAATAAATCACCACTTGAAGATTCACTACATACATAATTATGAAGGGAAAAAGCAGTGCTATTTTCAGCATAAGTCTAAATCAATGTGAAGTTTCATCATTTTCAATCCCACACTGCTACACGCCTATTTACACATCATATTGAAGACCATGTAAAGAGAGTTCCCTAGTTTTCTTCTAAACACATCATAAATTTTAGAAATGTTTTGTTCTACATTCAATTTCTATTCAGTTATTTCTATAGCGCCAATTCACAACACATGTCATCCGAAGGCACTTTACAGTGACAATTCAACCAGACCATACTGTCGGGTTCTTTCATAGTTTTCTATCTAAGAAAAACCAGTTGATTGCACAGACTCATTGACTCTTTAACAATCCCTCACAACGAGCATGACTGTAGCGACAGTGGAGAGGAAAACTAATTTTTAACAGGAAGAAACCTCCAGCAGAACCAGACTCGGTGTGAGATGTATTAAAAGCCTCCCAACCTTTTATCATTGCTCTGTAGTACTAGAATTAAATTCCGGTTTCAATATCCCCGTGCTTCAATATTTGTTGAGGGTGTCTAAAAGTGCAGCCTCACATTGTCATAAGGCTGCCTTCAGCATAGGCTCCGCCCACTTCTTGTACAGCATTATGAAAACAAACGGCAATGTGACTTTGCAGAACCTATATTTAGAGCCTGTTCAGACCCCTCTAGCATCTTCCACTGATCCCTCTGAATTAAAAATCAGAATATATATAATATGTAGCATATTTTATTTCTTTAAAATTGTTGCATTGAAATAGATCACTGCATGGGCGTGGTCCTAGTGGTCACGCTGCAGCATCTCAGGGCAGACAGAAGTGATTTTATATGCTTGGTCCTGTTTTTAACCATTAAAATTGATAGAGATGGTTGATTCATAAATTACACATTTATTTGGATCTAAACATTAAATCTTATAAACTGTAAATGCAGCTGCTGTTTTCGGCTCTAAACAATCAGGATAGAATTTATAAAATATGTTTGCAAATTGCAACACAACACTCAAGACATATAAAGTGATAAGTTATTAGCTATAATTCATTCTAACAATTGTTGATTTTTTTTTAGATTATTTTTTAGGCTCTAGGGGCCTTAATTGTTATTTTTTTGAAAGTTTGCAGACAGGAACGTGGGTTATAGAGGAGAGGGGAGAAACATTTGGCCAAGGTCAGCAAGGCCCGGACTCTAAGCTGTGTATAGGTCTATGCGCTCTACCTCTATGCCACAGCAGCACCCCAAATTCTAACCATTGTTAATAGAGAACTTTAGTCCCTGACTTTTCAGAGCATTCGTCAAAAATTTAGTTTCTAATCAGTATGTTGCTGTTTTCTGGTGTACAAAGTTGAATTAGATTTTTATTGCTCTCTTCTGTGTGACACAAATAGCAATTTACTTTAAAAATGCATTTTTCTTTGCTCTGTCTACGTGGAAACAAGCAGTTTTACCCAAATGCATCACTTATATCTTGATTAAAGGTGAGCAAACTATTTCAGTTCAAAATAAACTGCATCTCACCAGTAGAGCTATTTAAGGAGCAGCTCTGCTTTAATGTCTATTTTGAGAATTAGAAGGTCTTCTGTAAAGATCCTCAAGAACTGAATCATCTGATGGTTTAAATAGCTTTTACTGACTGAATAGGAACTTTTTAAAATGTTGGAAGTTATACAAATCTGTTCCACACTTTTGTAGATGGATAATAAGAGAACAGAAAAGGAAATCTGAACATAGCTGAGCAATTTGCCTGACGGAACCAAGAGTTTGTTTTATCTTTGTGTGAGTTTGCAGGTCCTGTTATTTACCATGATCTGGTCTCCATCAGAAAATGCTTGCTTTGTTCTCACAAACAGCAGCTTAAACAAGCATATGAAATATGCTTTATTACTAAGACATTTTTAAACTGAGTTTATTGTTGCCAAAAATGTATGGTTAAATAATCTTTAAATGTTAGTTCGGTCCCTTTCCTCAGAAAGAGGAAAACTGCCAGTTCAGCTGCTATACGCACTAGGAAGAAAGAAGGGATTAATATGTTTTTGTATTAATAGATTTGTGTTGTTTTCTCTTTTTTTTTTACTTCAGGATGATCAGACTCCGCTGCACATCTCAAGTCGTCTCGGTAAACCCGACATCGTTCAGCAGCTGCTGACAAAAGGAGCATGTCCAGATGCCACCACCAACTCTGGATACACACCTCTGCACCTGGCTGCCAGGGAGGGACACCGAGACGTGGCTGCATCTCTGCTCGATCAAGGCGCTAATCTGAGCATTACTACAAAGGTACCGAGCAAACACGTCATAAATGACATGTTTTACAGATTTTTGCAGGGTGTTACAGCCTGTTCTGGGTTAATATAGTTTGGAGAGTCTTAATTCTCTATTAACATGAGCTCAACAGGGATATTTGTGCAATATTTTTTGTAACTGCATTTTATATTTTGACGCTGAATCATCTAAAAGCCATTTTCCTTGATCAGCTGTTTGCTTTAGTTTGAAACAGTTTTCTTAACAGTACCTAAAATGGCAGTTTTGTATTTTATGGATTGTTTGATAACCCAATAAGATAACACTTCAGGCTTTGTTACTGTATAAAACAGGTTTGCAGTTTGGGGGGAAAAAATCTGTAATAATCAGTGACTTGTTTATATTTAACCTTAAAATTATTCATAAGGTCTGTTATGCAGCATTGATTGAATCTCTTTTTTTTGTCTTTTGTTTCCTACAGAAGGGTTTCACTCCTTTACATGTTGCTGCAAAGTATGGAAAGATAGAGGTAGCCAACCTTTTGCTGCAGAAGAACGCTCCTGTTGATGCTTCTGGGAAGGTGACGCAAGTTAAAGCATCACTAAGATAATTTAGGAGTACAGATTTCAATACCTTTATTTATGCATAGAGAGTGCCAAGAAAAAGTATGGAAGGGGATTAGGGACACTGAACAAAAAAAACAAAAACAACGGCTGCTTAATGAAACAAAATAGCCTATTGATTTCTGACTTCAGTCTCAAAATTCTGACTAATTCGGATTTTATTCTCAGAATTCTGTCCTTAATCTCAAACTAATTCTAGTAGAATTATGACTTGTTTATTCCTTCTTTATTAAAGTGATAATCCCAGACTTTAGTGATAGAATCCTAATAAATTAGGCTTTTAATTCAGAGAGAATAAAGTCAGAATTCAATAGTCTTTTGTTTTGAGTGGTTGTCTTTTTTTTTTTTTTAATCCCTCATCCTCTTGTGTAGAAAAGTAATAACATCCCTTGATTTATTTAATCCTTTGTCTCCTTAAAACCACAAACCTGTGGTTTACTTGTTAAATGTTATTTTGTGGGATGTCAGGTCGTAGACCAACACAAAGCTGTTTATAATTGTGAAGTGGAAGGAAAATAATAGGTCGTCTTTATATCATTATCACTTGTGAAAATCTATAAAACGTGATGTCCATTTGTACTGAGCAACATTTTCTAAGCTACCACTGAAGAAAGACCAATTTATTGTGTCTGGCTAAAGGTTGGAGGTTAACCAGATGCAGACAAAAGGTCCAAGGTAACCGCGGAAAAGCTCAAGAGGAAAAGGAAAACTTAAACAGTATAATGCATAACTCTGGACTTAGGGGAAGAGTGTAGATCAGGATACCATAGATTAAAAGAAAGCCCTAAAAGATGTCAGTTAGGTTTGATTGAATGATGTGGGGTCAAAGCAAACATGTGAGAGATTGTTCTATGGTCAGAAGAGACCAAAATATAATCTTTGGTAACCTTCAAAGCCTCGTATTTATGGCAGAAAACAAATGAGACCAATAACACCTTATACTGCATTTCCAAACATGGTAGTGGCTGCATTATGCTGAGGATGTGCTTCAGCAGTGATTGGGAAAGCTGTCTAAGTTGAAAGGGAGGATAAAGTTTAGCACAGGACGATGCTGGAAGACGGCTTCTTAGAAAACTATTAAGTGGATAATTGTAAAGATGAAGCCAGAGCTGCAAAGAAAAGCTTCGATCAAACCGTATTCAGAAGGGTCCAGTCAAAGTCCAGACCTAAATTTGATCACCTGTGGTAAGACTTCTGAAAATATTAGTGAGAGATGATGTTCATGCAACCTGACTGAGCTTGAATTATTTTCCAAAAGCAAATATGCAAAACATTTAGAAATTCATCATCCAAATGAAAAAACATTCTGAGAGCTTCCCAAACCGGGAATTTTTTTTTTTCACCATCTAACCTTTGCTCATGTTTGTGTGTGTTCAGAGTGGACTAACTCCACTGCATGTGGCAGCACACTATGATAACCAGAAGGTGGCACTGCTCTTGCTCAAACAGGGAGCTTCACCCCACGCTGCTGCCAAGGTAAGAGATGGCAGGGAGGGGGTCGGTTCAAATCGAATGTTCCTAAAAGCATCTCTGTCACTCTGTGCGCCAAAGCAGCCTGACCCAGTTAGAGACGTCCAGTCATTCTGCTCTGCACGGCCTCATTCCACACCCTTTCCACTTTGGCAGCATCTGCTCTGTAAAAAATCTGCCCCAGAAATCAGACAGGCTGAACACCCTAACAGAATGAATTATTGGATGAACTAAAGCTTCAGGAAATTGTTACATTCAATTTTCCATATCAATTTCCTGTGAAACACAGTTATGAAAACATTCACACATATGTTAAAGCAGTCTATATTTACCCCTTAGTGTATATTAGTTACTTCCAAATGTCATGCTGGGTTTGTCAGATATAAAAAAAACATTGTGTGCAAATAAAAAACATTTCTTTTCATTTTTACTGTCTTCATCAGGGGGAATTTAATTTTAAAGCTTGTTCATAAGTGTTTTTTTTCTCCTCTCTCCTTTATTTTCCTAAACTTTTCCCCTCTCCCTTCCTTACGTCCCTTTCTGCCTCCAAGTCCGTTCCATACGATTTTAGGCCCTTAATCATTTTCAGTAAAGTTTCACATCTAATTACCAAGTGGAAACTTATGGCACCAACTATAAAGGTCTGCTTGTGGAAGTAAATCTGTTGGGCAATTATTCAGCTCTGGCACATCGATCCTCAGAGCTATACTGGCAAAACAGGACACAGAGGGGGAAAAAAAGAAAGAAAAAAAAAAAGATAGTCAATTATTCAGGCAAATTCGTCACTGTGAATAAAGGGGCCGAATATTTTACCCAAGTAAGAGTAGGGACAATTTATAAAGTTATTTCACAAATAAAAATAAAAGCTACAGTCCAAGAAGTGCTAAAAGTAATTTGTTGTCAAAACATTACATTGACGGTTTGATAAATACATAATTTCCTTGTCTGGACTTGTCCAGGGAGACGGGGAAGAAAAGAAAAAACTAGAACATATTACTACTAATAGCACAGGTTCAGTCTTAAAATAAGTGTATTTACCCTTTATTTGAGTAGGTAAATAAGATGATCTGCCAATAAAATTTGTATTTTAAAAATAATTAGATATTATGCACTTGAAATAAGAGGCTGCAGTTGTTTTATCTTATTTAAAATGTAAATTGTCTTCTTCCACAGGCAAGGTGACTCACTAACCTGCTCAATTCAATAAAAAATGCTCCTATTTTAAGAGAAATTGACTTAGTTAGAATTCAATTTTTTGCAGTTTGATGAATGTGAGGGACCGAGCCAGCCAAGCATGAGGACACAGTGGTGATTGTCAAGAAAACTGGGTTTTATTTCTCCAAAGTAGCAATAATCCAAACAAAAAGAGGTCAAATGAAGAGACTAAGGGCAAAAAATATCAAGTTCAAACATATCAAACCTCAAACTAACTGAACAAACAAAAACTGACCGGACACACAGCAAACAAAGGGGACTTAAATACTGGCTGATCAGACCAGACTGACACACTGAGGAAGAGGTAGGGAGAACATCTACACCAATTTAACAAAAAATAACTAAACAGTTAGCTTAAGGATTAAACTTAAATGACAATCATTAAACAAATTAACAAAATGAGCAAATCACAAAAGTAAGAAGAAGAAATTATGCAACATATTTAAAATGTGGAGTCCATGGTCTTCCCCCATAGTGGAACTCCAGATGGTATCACCCAATCAGTCCATGATCATGTCAGCCACATTCTCCCAGTTGACGGCACTCCCACAACACCAGAAAAGAAAGCACAAAATATATTAAGCATTTGACAAAATTAAATATACAAAAGTTAACCAAATGTGCGCGCTACAATTGGAACTAATGTCTTCAATATTGTCAAAATAAACAAACCAATATATTTATGCTAGTGTGTATTAAAACTTATGAAAAAGTGGTTGTGTGTGGGGTTACTGACCATGTGACCATCACAATGAACGAAATGTGATCGAGGGTTTCTGTCCATCCGTGGCTGCTGCAATGATTGCAAAGACAGAGAAAAGACTCAGAAGGTCCCACTGAGAAAAAATATAGTTTGCCAAAGAACAAATTGAGCCACCATAAAAGGAAATTAAGCTACATTTTCTGAATTACAACAAAATATTAGTTGTGTGAGAAAAAATGAATCTGCATGTAATCCGATTATTTATTATTCCAACACTAAAAACCAAACTTGACCCTTTTTTCCTGTGAAGAGCTTAACTAAAGTTTTTCATTAAAGATAAAAATGTCTGCAGGTATCCTAGTGGTCGTCTGCTTTAATCCGTTGTTTTGTTTGTTTTTTTTTACAGAACGGTTACACTCCGCTTCACATCACGGCCAAGAAGAATCAGATGGAGATCGCCACCACCTTGCTGGAGTACGGCGCCTCCACCAGCACGGTGACGCGTCAGGGCATCACTCCTCTGCACCTGGCAGCACAAGAAGGAAACGTGGACATAGTGACTCTGCTGCTGGCTCGAGACGCTCCTGTTGGCTCCAGCAACAAGGTGCCACACACACCCAGACACCAGGCCTGAAAGCTTCTTTTTTGTTCTTTATTTGAGGGCAAATGGGACGTTAGAGGAGTCACATTTAACTAAGGGTCTGTGTTAGGAGCGTAAATATATATTCATAACCTTGGGGTGTTATTATAGTTGAGAATAACAATCTTTACCCGAGACTCTGTTATTTCTTCTCTGATTCATTTTTGATGCCCCCTAAACTCTCTTCCTCCTGAGGTCCAAACCTGCCATCAAGCCTAAAACCAGCTGTGTTTCCCTTTGACTGTGACTCTATCATTGTTTGTCTCCTCAGTCTGGTCTGACTCCACTCCACCTGGCTGCCCAGGAAGATAAAGTCAACGTTGCGGAGGTGTTAGTTAACCATGGAGCCTCCATAGACCCTGAGACCAAGGTAATGAGAGAGTCCTGTTCCATTTACTTCTCAAATGTCAGGTTTTAGTTTGTTTTATTTTATGATAGGGCTCGTGAAAATGAGGCCCTCTACCTCAGTGGGACTCACCTGAATAAAGGTTACAAAATAATGCTTTTAACAGGTTTTTGGAGATAAAGGCTTCTGTAATTAGAGCGAATACAAAAAACTAAAAACATTTTACAAAAAGCAAGATATGAATACGGGATTTTTTAAATGAAAAATGAATTAGGTGAAGCATGATTCTTTGGAACTGGAGCTGGATTTTCTTTCTGGGAAAAGCTGCTCAAAGAGTGTAGGAGAGATGAGCAAAGAAGTAAATAAAAATAAGTAATTTACACGTGTTTTGATTTCTCACAAATATCAGCTATATGAAGTAAATAATGTTGGATCTCAATCTATATCCAGCCGTTCTGTGAAGGTTTGAGACAAGTTAGAGGATAATTTTACAAGCTCTCAACAATTCACAAAGACCTGTTCAATCCAGCATCTGAAAAAAAAGTTTTGCACAACAGCAAACCTACATCACAAGCTGGGAAAAGAGATTATGAACCAGAGAGCAGGGCTTCAAGAAGGGAAAGAGTAGCTGTTTCAAAAGATCATCTGGTCCAGATGTTCCAATTATGGATCAAAATTCCAACATCTGCCACTTCACTTGAAAGATAAGATGTTAAAGATATACTCAGACAGGATGGCGCACACCCAGGGGAGGAGCTGCGAATAAGACAGCATAGTTGAGCCCCTCCAAAATCTAGGTTTTATAGAAGAGTTGCAAGAAAAATGGTGAGATTGGGGGAAAACCCCACAATAATTGCCTGGCTGTGTGTTTCCTGGACAGGTTCCAGCTTTTTCAGTTGCCTTTTGTATCTGCATCTGTCTGCTTATGTCCGCCTACACTGACCCTGGTTCTGCTGGAGGTTTCTTCCTGTTAAAGGGGAGTTTTTCCTCTCCACTGTTGCTACAAGCATGCTTGATGTGAGGGATTGCCTTCGAGTCAATGAGTCGATGCAATCAACTAGTTTTCCTTAGATAGAAAAATCTGAATCAATGTGACTGTATTTTCTGGTGAATTGTAAAGTGCTTTGAGGTGACATGTGTTGTGAATTATACATTATTAATTATATTATATAAATAAATTGAATTGAATTGAAGAGTTGTAGAAAGAGAGCTCTTATCTGATCGGACTAAGATTTTATTTTCATTTTTGTTTTATTTGAAGAAAACACTAATGTACTCTAAGCACACCATTCAACACAGTGTTGGCTGCCTCATCCTGAGGGATTCCTAACTATTAAAGGGACAGAGAAGTTTGGCAGAGTTCATGGGAAGATGAATGGAGTAAAATACAGAAGAATACTGGAAAAAACTTTTAAAAAGCTGCAACTTCATCTTTAGTGGGATACCCTGATGTTGTCATAGACTGTTTTGGTATATTATCATGTAATTCACCTTTAGCCTGAATCAGTTAGGGGAAAGCTTCTCTGCTAACATATTAGTTAACAACAGACTTAAAGCACTGTTTGAAATTCAAACATAAAACAACCTCAAAGAGGTCAGAGAGAGAAAAATTCCTCAAACCTGAAAATTAAATAAATAAATAAAATATTGTTACTAATAGGAAAAAGTAAAAAAAAAATAAGTCTTTGTGTTTTAAAACTTTTCAACTGGCCTTTAAAGACTTCTTGTGAAATATTTCTCCATCTTTCAACATTCTAATCACTTTTTTTTGGGCTAAATTATAATGGTGTAAAAATAAAATGTTTACGATCAAATTTTTGTGTCATCAGCTGGGATACACCCCTCTCCATGTGGCCTGTCACTATGGCAACGTGAAGATGGTAAACTTTCTGCTCAAGAATCAGGCAAAGGTCAACGCAAAGACCAAGGTAAACTAGCAGCTTTGTGAAAACATGGTTTTCTGTGTTTGTTTTCTTTCTGGCTGAGCTCCTCTCCTCCCTCTGCAGAACGGGTACACACCTCTGCATCAAGCCGCTCAGCAGGGACACACGCACATCATCAACCTGCTGCTGCACCACGGGGCTTCGCCCAACGAACTCACTGCCGTAAGGATGCACAGAAGGACAAGACTCACACATTTATCTTGCCAAAAATGGCCATTTATCCTTATCATTTCTCTGATTGCTTTTTTTTTTAGAATGGGAACAGTGCCCTGTCAATCGCCAGGAGACTGGGCTACATTTCTGTAGTTGACACACTCAAAGTGGTCACCGAGGAGACTCTAACCACTCAGGTCTGTTTTTGTTTGTGGATTATCACCCCTTAACTTATTTATTTGCTGATTTTTTTTTTTTGTGGCACTGACTGAAATGATCTAACCTTGAGCTGCAAGATGGATTATCGTGAGATCTGTTTTCAGTCTCACAACAAATCCATCTTTTAAGACTCCCGCTCATATGTCCGTCTCGTAGCAACCAGCGAGTCGGAACAATGATATGCCAGCAGTGTTTTTTGGAGCAGGACATGTAGGAATGACAACAGTCAGAAGAGCCTTGCCAGGGCATTACAACCATGGCTACGCTGGAGGTAGGGAGAGTAGGCGAGAGGCGGCTTCACTGGATTCATTGGCTTGTGTTGACATAATAGACCTCAGAGGTTTAGATGGAATAAACTCTCTCTTCAATTTAGCAGAAGAAGATGCTTCACCCGTCATCCCGTTTTCTGCCTCTCTCCATTTCTTTAAAATGACAAAGTCCGCCTCTATTCTCTCCAATTTATGTCAAAAGCATAACCTGCACGATTTTGATTCATCCTCTGACAAGTTGCATCCCATGTCCATCTGTCGTCCTTGCAAAGTTTTTTCATTAGAGGGTTGACAACGTTCAAAAATCAACTTTGTGTTGCTTAAAACGCTTTTTATGCGCAGGTCTGTCTTGCATATTCTACAAAAATCATTGCACAATGACATGATGGCTCCTCCATAAGCATAAAAATTCACTGGTACGATTGGCTGAAAGCGTATTACGGAAGGCAGGTACTAGCTGGCAAGTCACCCAATCAGCTCGAAGCATTATACTAGACATCCCTCCTTTTAACAGACAGACTGAACTTCGGCCTGCTGGTTAGGGTATAGGGCTTGGAATCCTGAGGTTGTGAGTTTGAAACCCACTGCCACTCTGGCTCTCTGAGCAAAAACCTTAACCCCCAATTGTTCACCGGGCGCTGCACGCTGCCACTGCTCCCCAAAGGGAATGGGTTGAATACAGAAAATTCATTTCTCCATTGTGAGATCAACAAAGTTTAATCTATTTTTTTATGATTGATAGCATAGAAACTCAACTCAGTTCTACACATATCAATCTGGCTACTGCCAGGTTAGAAATGAACACCCTCTAGCTACTCTCTATTAATAGGACACATTTCTTAAATCTGTAACACACCATAACCTGCCTGTTCAAATCAAACTATTTAGAAAAAAAGCAGTGTTAAGCGATGTTCTTCAACTTTTTTATTCTGTTAAATAGTTGAATTTAGTAGTATTACACTTTTTTTTTTTTTTCATATTTTGGTTATATTGCTAGTCTGATTCCAAAATGTAGGAATGTGAGACATTTTATATTTTTATTATAATTGAAGATCAAACATATGAGCGTCTCATATACTAACTTGGCCATACATTTCTACTTACCTTTTTAAGGGTTATCTAAGTCTAGCAGAGTGTTGGTAATTTCCGTCCACAGCCCTTCATTTAGTTGATCCCACTGATTGTCATAATCAGCTTTGGTCTTCTCCTTGCATAGAGCCATTCTTCCAGATTAGGATGTAGGTCTGGATTCATTGCGATGCTAGAAAAATAAGACAGCTGATTGTTTGGGTTAAAACTGACACCGCATGATAAACAAGCCCATACCATGATGCTACCACTCGGTTTTTTATCATGGATATGCTGTTCTTTTGGTGATGTTTGTGGTTAGATTCGTAACGTTTACTTTTAGGTTTTAGGTAAGATTTGTAACTGTTATTATTGATCCGGGTTGGGATTAAGACAAATTCCAATTAATCCAAAGGTAATCCCCTAACATTTATGTTGAATTATTTACGGCCATCAATGGGGAAAGGAAAGTGGCATCTTATTTAATTCTGGAAAAAAAGAGCAAACTTTTACTTTTTTATTTTTTTATAACATAATCAACATATAAGTCAAGTGTTTTCTGTCTCCCACAGACTGTAATAGAGAAACACAAGATGAACGTCCCAGAGACCATGAACGAGGTGCTGGACATGTCTGACGATGACGGTAAGGTTTGATTTAAAAACAATTCCTCCGACATAGGCTCACATTCTCATTCGGTTTCTGGGTTTGAAGGATGCAAACTCGGTGCTAATGAATTCATCTTTATTATTTTTTTTTGTTAACTCATTTATAATTAGTTCTTTAATCATTGATTGTTTATTATTTATTATTTGAAACTGATTTATCAGCCATTCAAAATGTCCCATAATCACTTTTTTTTTCTCTAATATGATTTTGTTATAAATATGATTTCTTCCTCATTTTTGCAACTTTTTGTTCTGTTGTTCTTTTTTTATTCTACCCGTCTCCTTCATCTGAATACAGTCTGTAAAGCCAATGTCCCAGAAATGATCACAGACGACTATTTTTCTGATGTGGAAGAAGGTATTTCTCATCTCTTTCCATTTTCTTTCCTTCATTCTCTCTGCATGTCTGTGCTTTAAGGATTCTAAACATTTATGTGCTCCTCTACTGTTTCTTTTGTTTTGTTTTTTCTTAAAAGTGACACTTATTTCAGTAATTGAATTCAAAATGTAACGCTCTTGTTTTGTATGGATTTCTTTTGCACAGCATATTGTTTCAGATAAATTTATGACTCTTTTCACACTTTAAGGATCAATTACACCTCTAGGACTAGGACTTGATTGTTCTCTGAGTTTCTCAAGTAGTCAAATAAGTGATCTCAGCTTATCTAGGAATCACATTATTTTCATATGATACTGCTTTAAATATAAAGGCGTGGTCAGAGCGGTCTTAGCCTGAAACAGTTTAACCTTATTTACCATTGAAGCTAATTGCAAACATGCAGTATTTCACAAACATTAGTGATGACTTCCTTATAGAGGTTGTCAATGGCTGACATGTTACATGTCTTCCCCTTGATTGTATAGCCCATTACATTTGGATAAAGTTGCGGTTCTAAATTTAATTTCGGTTTAATGGGTCTAAAATTTAATACATTTCTGAGAAACAAATTTTTCATTTTTTAGAAGCCATATTCCGCAACAAGTAAACACTTAAAAAGTATCACAGCGTTTGAGTCTTTGATGATTTTGAGTGACTGAAATAGCTTTCTCATGATATCATGTATTTAAAAGCACCTACAAGTCCTTGAAAGTATTTTTTTGTGTCCGAAAAATAAAAAAAGTTCCAATTCACCCTTGATGCATTTTCATAAATTAGGCTATGCTTAATTAAAAAAATTATAAGTTATTAGTAACAAAGGGGCTAGTTTAATCTTATCCTTTGTTGAATTGTATTTAATGTGTTTTCGTTTACATTTTTGGAGCCCATATTACCTTAATGATCCATCGGTCAGTACTGAGACAGAAACTTTCTCCTGAAAATGGACAATTAGTGAAAAAGCAGTCAACATTCATAGAAATACTTTTTAAATCATGCATAAACCCAAAGAACAAGCCTGTAAATCAAAAGAACTTGACAAGATTTCAAGAAAGAAAGAATAAGTACCAAGTTCATACTTATTTATTCTTATTTTAGCTTTTTCTACAGTTTAGAGTTGATAGCACAATTCTTTTAATGCATATTTGCACTGTCTGATTTGTATTAAATTTAAGGGAGAATGCTCTTCTGTTGCTATGCCAACAATGGCATCGTGGAGTGTGTAACAAATTTCTTTTCAGGCCTGTTAGCAGACGACACAGACACTCGATCCTTTGTCTTCCCCGGCCTCTCAGTGATGCTTGAATTGTAGCCAAAAGCTAACGCTGAAACAGTTCCTGCTGTGTCTCTGTTTGTGCTGTACATTTTGTGTTCTCCCCTGTGATCTGCACTCTGGCCCAGAAGCAAATGAACTCGCCCATCTGTGCCACAGAAAAGTTTTCAATCAATAGTTGGTTTTGTCCCCACTTAGCTCAATTTGCCCTGGAGATGTTTGTTTTGCTTTGTTTTTTTTTTGTTTTTTTATAGTCTTAATTCATTTAAAGACGTCACATGGAAATGATTTGTTCTGTTTATTAATTTAAAATGTCAGAAATCCACATTTATTTGGCTCATAACGGCCTTGCAGAGAATAACATACTTTTTTTTGGTTTCAGTCAGTTAGGATGACAAGAAAATTGAGAAAAAGATAATTTTCTAGAAACAAATTTTATTACTTTGTTCAAATCCGGAAATTTACATCCACTAAGATTACTCTGCCATTAATCAGGTGTGGGGTGCCCAGATGATGCTTTCATAGCTCTAAGCTCCTGATTCAAAACACCACCTTTGAATGAAGCCACATGTGGATGTAGGGTACTTTAGAGCTACACCTCAAACACTTTTTGCATGAAAAAAAATCAAAGGAAATCTTTTAAGATATCAGATAGAAAAAAAAAAATCTTCGATGCCCGAATAGTTGTTCATTAGCTCAATGATAAAAAGCTCTATACAGTCCAGCCATCTTCCCATTCAAACAATGGGTTGTTTCATGAGGAAAGGTCTTGATTTAATAAGTGTCTCTTAATCAGCAATGACATTTTTGCTGCAAAATTAGCTGTAAAGCAGCTCAGGTTCAATAAATCAACAATTTTAAGGGTGGCCAATTAGGGAGCAAAGCTTTTAGAGTAAGGAGGCCTATAAAAAGCACTGCAAAAACGATCTAGAAACAAGTAAAACTTTCTTAAATTTAATGTATTTAACCTTAATTTGAGAAGATAAATGAGATGATTTGCCAATGGAATGAGTGTTTTTGCTCTTAAAATAAGATATTTAGATAATATGCACTTGAAATAAGACAATGCAATTGTGTTTTCTTATTTTCACTGTAAATTGTCTTGTTCCATTGGCAAGATGACTATTTAACCTCCTCAATTAAAGAACAAATGCACTAATTTTAAGAAAAAATTACTTATCTAGATTTAGATTTTTTCCAGTGAGCTGACAAGATCATATCAGTTCTGTCAGACGGAAATTCCTTGGAGCTATCACAAGGACGTTGTTGAAATGTTGTAGTTCAGCCCTACAAAAAAAACTTCTGATGTTCATTCACTAAAAAAGTCTCTTTATGTAATTTCATTTGAAACTTAAACCCATTTATCGAATGAATGGATGAATAGGTGTCCTTTTTAAACACATTGATTTTCACTTGTGTTTAAATATTGTAATACCGGTATGTATATACTGTATGAAGTTGGGTTTAAATCCTATTTGTAGGAATAATATAGTATCATGATTTAATAATATATTAATAGTAGTGAGGTTTGCCCTGAGATTTTCCTGCTGCTTAAGATAAATAAATGGATAAATAACCTGAAGAGGTTTAATCTTTAAGTGAGGATATGCTATTGCTTTGAAAGGGGATCTCATTCTTTTAAGGCTTTTTTGCACATCTACCAAGATTGCCAACAACTTTCTCCACATCGATCTGTAATGATTCATAAATTATGTTTTGTTTTTTTTTCTTCAGGCATCTATTAGACCAAGCTTTTCATGGAGATCAAGTTAAAAAAATTAGAAGATGTAAAAGTTTTGTTTGAAGCGCACATTTACATAGAACCACAATGTATTTGCTTGTGTTTTGAACAGAAATGGATGTTGGAAATGTCAACATCAGCTATACTTGTAAGTGAAAAAAAAAAAGTTGATCCTGCTGTAACTAACTTCAGTAACTAGTGTGAAGTGTTACAGCTGAACTGATGCAGCTAAAATCTGCTTGTAGTTTTGTTGCTCCTTTTTTTCCTCGCATGCTCTGTGCATGTTTCTTCTTCACGCAATAGTGTGATCAAGTTGTTGTTGTCCATCTTGAAACTCTGTTCTAAAAATAAATCACGCCTAACTCCAGCAACATTCACATGGTTACATACCAACAACGGCAGTGATTACCTTCTCCGATAACACACACACACACAAACTGTCCATGAGCTGAATCGGAACAAGCAGAGGCTGTGTGGAGTTTTCATTTTTTATGGGTTTAATTCATAAAACTTTCATATGTAACCCTGATAATATACTGTGTACTGAAACCCCATATTTATTTGTCTAAATGGAACAGATCAATATTCAGAGACAGATCAATATGGCAGGACTTAGTAATTGAAATGGCTGCTAGTTGTATTTTCAGCAGGGTTTGAATGTCACAATACTTTTTGGTTACATGTACATAACAAACCAGAATTCACACCTAAATGTGAGATAATGTGCAGCTTAGTTCCTCTGTTTTTGGGTGAAATGCTAACCTTTCTTTACATTTGGTCACATTACTGCATACTGAGTTTTTGATCCAACTTTTTTACAAATAAAAATCGCTTGAGTGAATATTTTGTCTACCCATTTTGCCGTGACATAGTTTTTGTTCTTTTATTTTCTCATATAAAGGATCTTCAACTCAATTAGACTGGATGAAAAGGGGTCTGTGAACTTCCATTTTGTTTTCACTCAAATTTTAGCTTCCTGTAAGTCTGGACTTTGACTGGGCCATTCTAACGTGTTATAGCTCTTGCTGTATGTTTCCAGTTTTTGTCTTGCACCTGCGCATACCTCTGCCCAAGTCAGAAGACTTTTGCAGACTGTTAGCAGGTTTTCTTTTAGTATTGCTCCTCCCACTCTCCAATCCACTCATAAGCTTTCCTGCTACTACTCAAGAATTTCCCAACAGCATTATACAGCCTACAACTCCATGTCTCATCATGGACTCTTTCATTCAGGGCCTAAAAGATAATATATTTGTCCTCACCTTTGTTGGGTTCTTCCCCTACATGGCTTCTGTCAAATTATACTTGATCTGATTTTCTTTTAAAGGTATATAACCACATTATATGCCTTTACCAAAAACACCAAAATCCATTTGATCCCGTTAAGATGAGGTTATATATTCCAAGCTTGTGTGTTTTAATTGTCCTTTTTGAGCCTAAATTGAATCTGAGTACCAGGCAGTGCTAATATAAACAATGTGGCACCATCTACTGGCAATACCGGTGAACTACCAGGAAGCAAGATGGCAGCCATGGACGCAGATGCTAAATAAGTCCAAACAGTGCTGTAATGGCTTGCAGAAAACCAACAGCTCAGACGAAAGAACTTAAAAAGCATTGCTAACACCAGTAGCCCTATTAGCAAGGACATGTACTCATGAATCTATCAACTTTGCAAAGTCATCAGAATGCTTGTTGAGCTTTAGCTTCAGTGAATTCCAACGTTTTCCCAGAGCAACAAAATTTTACTCTCTCTTGGAATCAAACATTTATACACTTGATGTTTCGCAACTATGCTAGGAGTTCCACACTCACTTGGCTCCATTGCTTAAGCTTGTTGACTGAGTGTATGCATGCACAGTGATTTAATCCTAGTGACATGATGTTGTTAAGGTAAATATACACAGAAAGGCTGTTAAACTAACCAACTGAGAAATCAGAGCTTAAAAGACAAAGATAACAGGGAATGCAGGTGACGCAGCGGTTAGCGCGACCCGTGTACGAAGGCCTTGTTCCTCGACGTGGGTGACCTGGGTTCGAATCCGGCATGTGGTCCTTTTCCGCATCTCATATCCCCTTTCCTTTCCGCCTACTATCAAAAAAAGAGCCACTAGTGGCATAAAAAAAACTCTTAAAAGAAAAAAATAAATACTACGCCAGCAGAACAACATAATATGTTATAGAAACGTACACAACCAGAGTGAAGGACTACTGTATACATTTAAATATATACAAAATAATGTGTCTACGTACCTTTAGTAATTGCTGTTTTTTTCTTTTCTTGACACTATTCTGTTGAAACAAGATTTATAGTTTGCATAACAGACAATAGTTCTGGATCGATCCTCCTATTGTGCATGTAAACATGCTCAGTATTTGGTCTTTTGCATATCTTAGTGCAACGTTGCAAATTGTTAACCATTTGTCGTTGGATCCGCTTCCTTGCAACATGCTAGCTGTGAATGCAGGGGTCCCATAATCATGGTCAAGTACAAACTGATAACATTGAGTTTATGGTTGTATGTTTATTGTTGTCTCATGTCCTGCAGCAAACATCTGAGGTCTATGAGGAACAGAATGTTATGCGACTCTTAACTTTATTTGGACATCGTTTGTAACTGAACACTGAAGCTTATTGATTAAATCGATTACTTTCTACTTTATCAGGAACCGTATTCTAATTTTTGCCCCGTTTTTCAGATTTTAGCTTCTAAAAGATATTTAGAAATACTGTTTTTCATCCAGTTTACAAACTCTGACTACTTTTTGTAGATATTTTCTATAAAAACTAAGTGAAAATACACCAATGTTTATGGCTGTAATGTGACAGAATGTAAGAGGTTGAAGAGGTGGGAATACTTTTTCAAGGTGGTCTGTAAACTGTAAAGGGTGGTTAGATGTTAGACAACTGTGTGAGTCACAAAGCCCCCTACTATTTCTGTGCTGCAGGGAGCTGTAGGTGTGTGCTCGGAAACTCTCTCTTAAACACACACACACACACACACTGGATAATCCAGCAGCGGATCTGGTAGGCGGGAGAAAGACGATCTGTTTGCATGAGTGCCGGACTCTAAAACCGAGATAGACAGTTAATGCTGGAGCAAGTGGGTTTAGAAGTTGAGGAAAAGTTAGTCTGGAGTGAACGCCTGCAGTGGACTTAAGGCTGAATGAATTGCTTTAAGGCAGCAGGTTAGTCTAAGTTCTTTGCTTTGGGAACTTTGGGATCTGAGTGCAGAGCGAATGCAGGAGAATGGGTTGGAATGTGGCCAGATGGGGGTCTGTGAAGTATCCTGGTGGTGTTTGGGGTGGGGGGGCTTTTGGGGGGGAGGGGTCTTGCAGCAGCAGTGGGTAGTGATGGGATGGTGATGAAGGGGAGGGGGCGTCTCTTTTGCTTTGTTGTTGCTGGAATGCCTTCCTTTTCTTTCTTCCGTCTCTCCGCTTGCATGCACTTGCCTCCTCTGGCTTCCACCGTGCAGTCAGCGATTCATCAGTAGATTCATGGTCTACTGTACCTCTGTGGGTAAAACCATGCTGCTAACAACTTTCCTCCTAAACTTTTAACTTCTGCTCTAACACTTAACATGTATTTTCAGTGTCTGTGGTGTGTTTAGAGTGATGAAGCAAAGCTTAGTTCAGACTCTTTTAAATTTCTCTTTTTTTTCCTTTTTAGTTTTGTTTGACAGAAACCAAATTTAAATATGCTTCGACTTGTTTTAACTCTATTTGGATTCCAAAAAGAGTTAAGCGGATTTTTATTAAGACGTTGTCTGAGTGTGTTGTTAGACCAAAATTAAGCTGAAAAAACAGCCTCTGGGCAAATGATGCATTGATCGACATGCCCTAATGAGTTTGTGTTTCTGCATGAGTAAAGAAAAAAAAAAAGAAAAGAACAAACAGGAAACAATCAACTATTTCCCTTAGGCAATATCCTAGCAAGTTCTAATTTCTACTCTCTGTGTCTTTTAATCTGACAGGTGATGATGCAATGACGGGGGACACAGACAAATATCTGGCCCCCCATGACCTGAGGGAACTGGGGGACGACTCGCTCCCACAGGAGGGCTACATGGGCTTCAGCGTTGGAGCGCGGTCACAGAGGTAAGGCTCACTATACCACAGTAATACAAAAAGTCAGTAGTCGTTTGTCTTTTTCATCATCTTTCTTGCAAAGAGGGTCTGAAAGGTTTCATACACATAAAATATATAAAAGCATTTTTTAACTGTGTGTTGTGACTAATGGAGGCTTCCTGTCAGCATATAACATCTTCTGGCATCTTTGTTGTTTTGACTGTCTACACCGCCGGTTGGTAACCTATGATTTTAGAGCTGCAAGTGGCCCCTTGGATGCTAAACAATGGCTCTTTATCGTTTTGGCTAAAAATGATGAAGAGCAGGCTAATTTTTTTAACAAAAGATGTACAAACAAATGCATGTCTTAGCATTTTCTACAACATCTAACTCCAAAAACAAGAATATATTTTTATTTTAGTTTATTTTACCTTTATTTTACCAGGAAGTCCCTTGAGATAAAATCTCTTTTTCGAGGGAGACCTGTTATATATATATACCCTCTAACTATAGAGTGTAGAAAATGTAGACAGTGTAGAAAATGCTATATATATCTATTTCTCAATATAATACATGTTATGTTATTAAGTGGGAAAACTGTTTTGTAACATGATTTTCCTATAATATCAAATATAAATATAATAAATATAAAAAGTATATGTAATCTTTTTTTCTAAAAACAGCTTTCAGCTTAAAGCTCACAGCTCTAATTCAGTTTTATTAGCTAAGAAAGTCACAAAATATATTTACCGGTACCTGACTTATTATATTACAAATATATATTTTTAATATTTTTTAAAGAGGGAAATACATTGTTTTTAAAACAAAATTTCCCCAAACTATAACCAACCAATTGAACTGTGTTTATTCTGTTTTTGCAAGTTTTTTCCTTCACTCTAAAAGATGAAATTGCATATCCCTACCCTGGGGTAGAGATTTATTAAATAGAAGTTACCTTTTTCTTTTGTTAAAAAAAAGGTCATTCAATGTATTGTGACTTTAAATAAGGTATATTAGCTGGGCTGCAGTCATAAATGGCTCCAGACCCGTGGTCTATACAGAGCCAGGTTTTGTTTTTCATTTTCAAAAAAACAGGCTAAAGTCTCCAAGAAAGCAGAAAACTAAAAACATTCAACTATTGCCATGAAGAATTAATTTTCAAGTGCATTCATCAAACAAATGCATCCAAAAACCTTTAAAGTATAGTTCATTGTAAATCACCTTTTTGATTATTTGTTTAAGATGATAGCTTTGTTAAGCAGGATAGGTCTGAAACAAAAAATACTTTTTGACAAAATGAAAACAATTAGGTTTGAGTCAGTTTATTTTCAAAGCAGCAATTCACCAGAAATGCAACTTTAAAGCACGAAAAAAAATTTATTCCAGTCATGAGGAAAGTATGAAAGTAAAGCACAAGCATTCATGCCATGTGAAATGGTGCCTTTAAAAGCATCATCTGGAAATTTCTCACTGCAACTACAGCATAGATTGTTTTGACTCCCAAAAAATAAATCAAATGGATATGTGGCCTCATATTAGCAATACCGTAAGAAGGATCTAGCAAATATTTTTGCAACAAACAAAAATAAAAAATAAAAATCAATATCCCTGTTGAAAAATGTTATTTGTAAAAGATATGGATTCATGATTTTGAGATAAAGAACAATCTAAAGATTAATGACACAAGACAGTTTACAACACCTTAAACAGGGAGTAAACAGCCAGACCAGTGAATTGAATTAAGCTTTTGTTTTTCTTTAAGCATAACGTTCATCAGGGGGGTACAGCTATTTTTTTAACCTACCAATAATTATTGGTCTTTACTGTCAATCAGCCAAATTAGTCACTATGCATTATAGTGGCTGCCAATCAAACACACAGATGAACTGGATTTGAGTGCGGTTATAGAAAGTGTCTTTAGAATAATGTTTAAACAGCTGCATTACTGTAATCTCCCAGGACTAAAGCTGTTTGTCGAAAAAGACATTGCACAACTAGTTTGCTGCTTTCTCATGGCTCTCTTCCATTCAGAGCAACGCAGCTTGTTTAGATACATCTTGAAACACTTTTTTAGGCTCTTCATTTAGAATACCTGCTTCAGTATGGTCCCAATTATACCCTGTTGTGGTGAAAATGTGACTGGAAAAATTGATTCATCAGTCTCACATGCATATTACGCAGCATAAATATCAAAAGAAATATTTCCTTAAACTGCTAATGCACTGTATGCTAAGCTTAATGTGTGTGCATGACCACCATAGATGGGTAGCATTGAATGGGTTCGCTTTTTATAACAGCTCATGGCCTTCCTTTCTCTCCTGTACTTCTCCAGAGTGCTTTGTCTTCTCTGCCTCTCTGTGAGTCTGACTAAAAGCTAATTTATACTCAGAAACCAGGTCGTCTACGTGTTTCGCAGTGAGCGCAGAGAGGAGGCCTCTGATTGGTCATCCACTCTACACTATGCGTATTTCCTGTTTCATATCTTACCGGCTTGTTTTGTTTTTATGACCATCATTTTGGTGAAGTTGGACCAGCTAGAAGAGTGAGGTGCGCAAGAACGCTGGGGCGCTTTTTCCACATGGATCCCTGCTCTTTTTCGCCCTCATGTTCCTCCGTTGTCCCACAAACTTGCCCCCACTTAATCACCGCCTCCGCCGTATCTAAACCTACAGCTAGTTTGTGTTTGTCCCTCTTGCATTGTGGCGTGGAATAACATACCGTAGCCTATTCTTCAATATTGGGCATAAATCAAAAATCACTGCGACACACTGCAGTAGGAGGATAACCAGCCCTTAAGGCTACAAACTGTGCAGAACGTCTTCCATTGTTCCCTTGTGTTTCTATCACATACAGGCTGAAAAACCAAAACAAGGCAAGTAGAGTTGGTACCAATAGAAAAGAACCATAGTAGAAGGTATTCCAGTAAATTAGAACATTGTTTCCCAACCTTTTTAGATTTTTGTCAAAGGTGTACCCCTTTGTGCATTTTTTTTGTACCATGAGTACCCCTCTCGGTCAAAAGTATTAATGATTTTCCAAAATTGGAACGTACAATAACTGATTATAAAGTAAAAACTATTTTTGCTTAATCTTTTAACTTGAGCATTTAATTCTTAGGCATTTTATTATCTCAAATTAAAAAAACTAAATAAATATGTTTACTGGAAGTTAGTAAGGAATCAAAATAAATACAAAATAAAATCATTTTTGGAACCTGTATTTATAAAACTGGAGCTCCTCTGAGTAACTTGCTTATAATCACATTTAAACTTGACTAATTAGGAACAAAAATGATCCCAGGCTGTTCCTCTGCTTTGTTTTTCTTTGAGTTCATCTTCAGCTGTCTCACACAGGAAAAACCAAGCAGAGGAACAGATTGGGATCAGCTGTATTCCAAACTGATCCCAGGCTGTTCCTCTGCTTGGTTTTCCAGTATGAGACAGCTGAAGATGAACTAAAAAAAATACTTTTTGGTTGATAAAAGTTTGTTTATTTTTTTCAATTGGGTACTCATAAAGCAAAACACATCCCAGCCCTTTTTTAATTTACAAAAATTTTATTTAAGAAAATATTTTCATGTACTCCTTGCAATGCACTCACAGACCACTAGAGGTAAGACTACCTCCTTTTTGGAATCACTGAATTAGAAGACGAACACACTGGAAAAACGATCTAGAAATAAGTAAAAATGTCTTAAATTAAGTGTATTTTCCCTTAATTTGAGTAGGTAAATGAGATAGTTTGCCAACGGAATGAGTATTTTTACTCTGATAAATAAGATAGTTAGATAATATGCACTTGAAATTAAACAATGCTATTCTGTTTTCTTATTCTAAGTGTAAATTGCCTCGTTCCATTGGCAAGATGTCTCTTTTACTACCTTAATCCAAGAGCAAATGCACTTATTTTAAGCAAAAAATGACTCGTCTAGATTTAGATTTTTTCCAGTGCAAAATTGCATTGTCTAACTTAAATGCTGTTAGGGTTGTTGATTTTTTAAATGCAGTTTTGACACCAGAGACCAAATACCTCTATGGTGAGTTACAGGAAGACTGCATCACCAAAAGAGAGCTTTAAAATCCCTGCAAATGGTGTTGATTTGTTAAATCTCAAAGATGCCGCTGTCAATATCTTAGTAAAAATCAATCTTTACTGTATAAACCACCCCTTATTGTATAAATAACCACATACATCTTCATAGTGTAAACTCAAATAAAAGTCTTCACTGTCACTACAGTTTATCTGGAACGAGCATAATGGTGCCTGAGTGAAGCGTCCTTCACCTGCAGTTCTATTCTAGAATTTAAGAGCTTTATTTTATACATACATTTTTGATTGTATACATAAAAAGCAGTATAACTGTTTTGAGTCTGACCACAGTTAGCAAGGAGAGATTAATAGAAACATTTGAGATCTATCCTTCTTTGTGTGTATCTGAGTGGTAACTATTTATCAGCAACAAAATAAGCATAGAACTGCAACAGATAAACTTTCATATGTAGTGACGTGTTTGACAATCAACAACAAACATCTGTCTTACAAATATAGGTCTACGTGTCTATTGGATACGCGAAACCTGATCTGAAAGCAGTTTTCTCATCTCGTCTTTTAGAAATCGCAGCAGTGGGAGTTTTTGCAGCAACACTCAAAGGTTACAGTTCATTCTGTTGAACTTTATTCTCTTTAGAAAACATTGACCCTTGTGCAACTCACTGCAGAGTGAGGGAGGGGTTATAACATATCTGAGGAGTGACATAAACAGACAGAGAGCCATAGGAAATTAGAAACACGTTCAATTTAGAAAGCCTCAAGCGTAGGCTGCCTGAGTGTGTTCAATCAGTTTAGTTTACAACTAGTTTACAAGACCAGGCGTGTTTATCATCCAGCTTTGGCAGTTTTGTTCGACAATCATCGTTAAAAAGGTAAAAGAAATAAATAATTTAGACTAACATCTAAAAAAAAAATAACACATATCGGACTATTGATAGTGGGTCAATAGATTTTTACTTTAAATCAACTAAAGTCCCATTGTTTAGAGAAGAAATTGTGTTTAAACTTCGAGTGATTAAAAAAAAAAGTAAACAGGCAGAATTAAATGAAAGATTTAAAATTGAATGTAAGCATTGAACATAAATTAAAAAATACACAAAGAAAATTCACATTTAAAATTAACAAAAAGCTAAAAGGTTAAAGCTTAAAATGCAGTCATGTATGCTGGAAAACTTCATACACCTCCAAAAGTCACAGTTGCAAAATAGATTTTTTTTTTTATTTGTATGGCATCACCACATTATTCTGACCTAAAAAAAAGTTAAATAAACAAAAATGCAAAAGTTTTTCCTGGAATCTGTTTTTTTTTTTTTTATGATCATAGACTGTATTGTACTTTCATGTTATAATCACACAACTGTATTTAAACATAAGATAACTCAAGTATATCAGCTATCATAAAAGCCATTTTCAAATATAGGGAAAGATGATTTAATCTGTTAAGAGAAAACCACATACCAATCAAGCCCTTTGCAAAAAAAATGTTTTCAAACTGCTTTCTAAACAATGACTTAATAGGAATTAATCTTTTGTAAAGGCTACTTTTAATTTTATTAGGCAAACTCAGGCTTGGTGTCTGTCAGACCTATAAAATCAAAATGAACCGAAACAAATTATAATAATCCATCTGACAACAATAAGTCATTTATGACCCACTAATGACATTATTTAATCTCCTCCTGTGCTGTAATTCAGTAATTGAGTTCATTATCCAACCAATGAGGAAATCCTGTCTATAAATTATTGAACTTTCCACTTAAAATTTTATCCTTTGCCAAATATATGTAAAATATGTGACAGTAAAACAATACTAAAATGCACTCAGTCTGTTCCTACACTTACACGGATTTTATACCCTTCATAACAAATACAAAATGCAGCTTATGCATCTGCAATAAAAAAAAAAATCCTTATTTTTCTCAAATTGTTCTTTGATTCTTTAACATTTATACACATGTGAGATATGTTTTGAATATGTCAACAGGTTTATAAAGGGTGTACCAGCAGCTTAAGACATTGTTTTCACACAGAAAAATATTGTTGTCATTAGAAAACGTATTGAACCAGTTATGCTTATACATAATAGGATTATGGAATTTAATTTTGGGCAAATAGCACTATGTCACTTTTGAACCAAGAATTACGTCATTTGAGATATTTAAATGGTTTTCCTGCCGATACCTATACCAGTATCGGACAGGGCCCAGTTACTGCACTAAAATGGTGTTATCGGTATCGGCGAACACCTACAAATAGGGCATGATACCATTTTGAGAGCCAAAGTTTATTCAACTGTTGTCACTCATTCCAGGTATGCAATAAAAAGTTGTACTGGAATCACTTTATATTAGTCTTTCCTGCTTCACAAAGGTAGGCAGCAGCTGGACAAAGCCATGATGGCAATTATTTTACATTCAATCGGTATCGGCCAATACTGCACAGCCAGGTATCGGGTATCGGTATCGTGGCAAAAAATTGCATCGGCGCAACACTAGTCAGTACACAGCACTTGGTGCATATTGATGCTCTGCAGGGTGCCCTTCTCAAAAAGCCGCCTTTGTGAATGGTAGGGTTTGGTCCATTACTGAATGAGTCATGTGACCCTGTCTTTACATGAAACGCAATTACTTTTTAATCTGCAGGTACAGATTGGTCCTCTGTCAGATTCCAGAACACAGGAGCTCAATCCCAAACCGGTCACCTAAACACTAAGCCTAAGCACTAATGCTTTGTTTGCTCATTCCTGTGGAGCGTTCGCCATATTGAGGACCATCCCTAAAGAGCAAGTCTTCATCAGTTCAGACTGGCTGGAATTTGGCACCGGGTCTAACGGTGAACTAATTACGGAGCAGACATGGGCATTCAACACCTGTTTTGCAGCATTTTTGTCGCACTGACAGATAATCATTAGTCAGGAAACAGAAAAAAAAACCACATTGATTCAAAAAGGGATGGTGCGTACAGTTTTTTTTTTAAGAAAGGGGCAAATGTTTGATGTTATATCAACCTTCACCTCAGAGCTACAGCCATGCAGATTAGGCATCACAGTGTTACCATAGCAACCATTGCATTCCTTTTTCCGTTGGAGGGAAGAGGCCGTCCCATTCTTGTTTACTGTATGACCCCCCCACCTTCAGTAAAGGTGCCCTCCAAAGCTGCAAGTGTGACTTCATTGGGAGTGACGTTAAGGGTTAGGTCTTAGGGGGCAGTTTGGGATCTGACCAGAGGGAGACTCTTTTATTTTGTGTCAGTGGAGTGTTGCTTAACCTAGAAGTTGCAAGTGTAGCGCCCCTAGTGGCTAAAAGTTACACCTTGTTGCTTTAAATATTTGGCTTTTTTTTTTTAGCAGTACCAGTCTTCTAAGATTTACCAAGTCCGCTTGGTGCAAAATTAATCCAACCAAATTTTCTAATCTATATGTTTAAGGTTTTATTAGATAAAATGCCTAAATTCTCACAAAATTACTATTTTAATGTTTATATTCACTTTGTGTTGTATTGGTTGTTTAATTAGTTGTTTTTCTTATATACCTTGAAAATAACAATAAATAAATCACTCTGTCATAGTCTGAAATTAAATCATAGTTAATGGTTGAGAGTTTTATAAAGTAAGCACATTCTCCCACATTCAGTTAACATCCTTCTGCATCTCTGCTCCTGCTTCTCTTTGCATCTATTCGTTCACTCCTCTGCTTTCTTCATGATGTTTTATTCTCTCCTCATGTCCGTTCCTATCCTTAGTACCAAAGTCAGGTAAGGCTCACAGCATGACCAGGCCCCCCCCACCAACACCCTGTTTCACCCTTTTCCCTCCCCTAGACCCCGGTCTTTGTTAGTATAATGGCAACATGTGCTGAAATATTGAAGTTTTCCTGCACACTTCACCTCTAATCCAATGATTTTTGTATTGGTTGTTTTGGTGTCTAACATTGTGGGATGTACTTGTTTGGTCTGGTGTCTTAATTTTTTACGTGCAGCTGGTTCTAACAGCATCTTTTGTTTGCTTTTGTGTTTGACTGTGGTTATTGTTCTTGCCTGGGTCTCTGTGAGGTTTGCACAAAGTTGGAGCCTTGCATCATTTTGGTTTGTTGTGGAGATTTCCTTTATTCTGCTTCCAGGGACTTGAGTTAAAACAGCCCTCCACCAGATTTAAGGATGCATTTCTCTATATGTGGTTAAGTCATTTCAGAAAAGCACATTTTAATCAGAGAAGATTCAACGGTGGAAAAATGCATCATTACCGAAGTCAAAAAGCAAACTAGGGTCCCAAAACTGACATATTTAAACATATTATTAGTGCATAAACATGCCTGCAGTCTTCTATTGACTTTTTATGTGTGATCATTGTCAGATAGAAATTAACTAAGAGCACAATCAGAAATATTTCACTAAAATCTTAAGGTTTATGTAAGTCTGTTACATAACAGATTTACTTTTTTTAGATACTATAGAAAGCTACTGACTAAACCTCACATGAAATGTATTCATTTGCATAATAAGCTTATTTATTTAAAATACATAAAAGTTATAGATTGAATTGCGTAACCTAGATCCATTTCAAACAATAAGATTTGTTTTTTAAGTATACTTTATTAATTCTAAATATATAAACCTTACAGTTTAAATAAATAGGCTGTATTACACGACTAAATTTGCATAATTTAAGGTTTATTTAGTAGGTTTGCCTTTAAAATTATCTGGAAAAAAAGTAAATTAGAATTTGTAATGCAATAAAATTACATAAAACTTCAAAAATGTGTGTGAAATTTTTTTGCGGGGGCATTTTATTAAGATAAGCAGTTTAACATTGTTACAAATATTTGCTTAGCAACACAATATTGACTCCAGTGTTACATGTTCTGAAAATATAACACATACAAAAACACATTACATAAGTGCAATAAATGTTTTAGACCCTAAAGAATCACTAACGCATTTTTTTAAAAGCTGATCCTCGTGTAGTTTTCCAAAGTCTGGCCCAAATGATTTCCTCTCTCTATCTGGTTTTCCACTCTCTAATTACTAATTAGTGTAATCGCTCCTGGGATGTTGCAGACAAACTCTCCTCACGTCATTTCTCAGGAATGCTGTTAGTTTGTCTCGTAAAGTTCCATCGCACGGCATAATCACAGCATCACAACTTACCGCACTCTGACAGAATTAAGAAGACGCAAGAGGTAAATCTGTCAGAGAGGTAATAGGATCTGAAATCAGCTTATTTTTTTATCATAATGGAAATTATATAGAAAAGCTTTTGTCTCCTGTGTGGTACCACTGTTACTTAATGATAATAGGTTAAAAGAGTTTTGTTGCTGCAAACAAATGAGTATATTTTCTTTATCTTCCTCTTAAGTTTTCAGTTTTATTGTTTGTGGACAGTCAGGTTCCTGGAAGCTGCATGCATTTAATGTATTTTTTTTTTTCTGTTTACTTTCATATCCCTTTACCCTCCACCCCTCGCCAACTCTCCCTCCCTTCCCTTCATCCCTGTGACTGTTGTCTTGGTAATCCGTGACTCCTGTCCCAACCACACCAAGCCTCCGTTCCTTCAGTTCTGATAGGTCCAACACGTTGAACCGGAGCTCCTTCACGCGGGACAGCATGATGATCGAGGAGATCCTGGCCCCCACCAAGGACCCGGTATGTATTTTTCAACCTTTACCTTGATACACTCCTGTCTCCAAATGTTGCCAAGCTGGCTTGGTGCTGAGCCAAAAGAAAGGCAGTTCAGCAATCCTCTTAAACCCGAGGGGGTGCTGTGACACAAAGACGACCAAATCCTGTTATATTTCACCTGAAAGAGGCCATGGCATTCTTAAGGCTTCCATCTAGGGGAGATTATGGTGATGCCCTACTTTACTTTTATTACAGTTGGAATAACTATTGTCTATGATCTTAGAGGCTTCCGGTTTAATGCTCAAGTACCAGACTTGTCTTCCACAATTATACATGAAAATGAACCTGTGCAAAAGCTCTAATCGACACTCTTATAATCTTGTAAGGTGCTCTTCTGGCTTTCTGGAAAAGGTATTTTAGAATAGAATAAAAGAGAAAATCCCTTAAGTGTCCCACAAATGGTAAATTATGGTATTTACAGCAGCAAAAAGATTATAGAAAAAATTGTCAAACAAATATGGACCTTAGAAAAATGTATAAGAATAACATAATGGTGAAGAGTTAAAAGATAAACACTAAAATTCTGTACTGTAAAGTGATTTACCGATATAAATACTGTGCACCTGAGGAATATACACTCACCGGCCACTTTATTAGGTACACCTGTCCAACTGCTCGTTAACACTTAATTTCTAAGCAGCCAATCACATGGCGGCAACTCAGTGCA